TAGCTAGCTGGTAGCTAGCTGGTTTCAGGTCTCTTGTATCATCTAATCACCTATTCTGTTAGGTTATTAGCTTATTGCCTAATTGGGTCATGTGGGTACTCGAGTCTATCCCAGTAGCCAATGGGATAGGCTAACACTGGGGTCTGGAGGAGGCAGGGGGGGGGCACAGCGGGGTTAGCTAGCTGCTAGCTAGCTGGTCTCCTCACTTCCTGTTTCATTTTGATAAGTAACCCTCATATCGTTTCAGGTTTCTTGTATCATCTGATCACCTATTCTGTTAAGGTTATTAGGTTTTTGCCTAATGGGGTCATGTGGGGACTCGAGTCTATCCCAGTAGCCAATGGGATAGGCTAGCACTGGGGTCTGGAGGAGGCAGGGGGGGGGTTAGCTAGCTGTTAGCTAGCTGGTCTCGTCACTTCCTGTTTTATTTAGATAAGTAACCCTCATATCGTTTCAGGTTTCTTGTATCATCTAATCACCTATTCTGTTAGGTTATTAGCTTATTGCCTAATGGGGTCATGTGGGGACTGGAGTCTATCCCAGTAGCCAATTTCCAACTAAAGAATCGCGGCTCACTTGGTTTGCAGTCGTCGATGTCGGTCTCACACTTCTGGCCGGCGTAGCCCGGCTGGCATTTGCACGTGTAGCCGCCCATCGTGTTGAGGCACACGGCGCCGTTACGGCAGGGAGCTTTCACACACTCGTTAATGTCCACCTCACAGGTTTGACCTTTTAAGATAAAAGAAAGACAAAAAAAAGACAGTCGAGGACATGTTTTTTCACTGAGCAGAGATGAGAAAGTATGCATTCAGTTAATCTTTACTTAGAAAATCTTTATATAGATTCAAAAACAGAAGAAAAAACTGTAAAGTAAATGAAAATTGTAAACTAAAAGTAAATTGGTACGGGCTGTACTGGAAGTTAATTTCTCCTCGGAGATCAATCAAATATTTAATAAATCAATCAATCAATAAATCATGTGATCAATTGAAGACAAAAAAAGACAGTAGAGGACATGAGCAGAGACGAGAAATCATGCATTCAGTTCATCTTTACTTAGAAAATCTTTATATAGATTCAAAAACAGAAGAAAAAACAGTAAAATGAATTAAATCGTGTGACCCATTCATGCACAGAACCCAGAATAATGACCTTTTACAGTAATAAAGTAGAAAAATGCAGTCTTAACTCCTCATAGTATGATGAAAACTGCAGTTCAGAACGCTAAAGTAATAACAAATAGTTTTTAAAAAACTTCACAAGTTTGACCTTTTGAGATAAAATAAAGACAAAAAAAGACAGTCGAGGACATGTTTTTTCACTGAGCAGATACAAACAAGCATGCATTCAATTAGTCTTTACTTAGAAAACCTATATATAGATTCAAAATCAGAAGAAAAAACAGTAAAATGAATTAAATCATGTGACCCATTCATGCACAGAACCCAGAATAATGACCTTTTACAGTAATAAAGTCGAAAAATGCTGTCTTAACTCCTCGTAGTAAGATGAAAACTGCAGTGCAGAATACTAAAGTAAAAACAAAACGTTTTTAAAAAATGACAAAAGCAGGTGCGTACCTTGCCATCCTTCGGGGCAGATGCAAGAGAAGCTCTGGTAGTCTTCAGCCTCCTTACATATTCCGCCATTTTTACAGGGGCGGGGGCTGCAGGGGGCCAGCAGGGTCTCGCAGTTCTCCCCTGTGGACATCAAAAGGGTCAGCGTTTGCAGCCATAAAAAATAAAAGTCTGAATATCAGGTGGATTCTAATCGTTTTGGGTTCTTGTGCCACCATGTTTGGTTTGTTAATTGCTTTGTTTGGAAACTAACTAACTCCCGAATCCCATTTTTCCTATCCAGTTCCTTATCCATTTCCATGACGACTTAGCCAAACAGGAAGGGCCTTCCTGTTTCCTGCTATTGTGCGATCACAGACAGGAAACAGGAAGTGTGAACGGGGCCGTAGCCGTGGCGATGGCGGCGATGGCGTCCAGCTCTGCTGTTATCCCAAAGCACACAGAAGCCTTTTATCAACAGAACTGGCGGGAAGAGATTTCCACACAGGGACGCCAAAAAACAGGGTTTTCTCAAACAACACAGGATGGGACAGGATCATCCATCCATCCATCCATCCATCCGTCCATCCATCCATCCATCCATCCATCCATTTATCCATCCATCCATCTAACTACGCATCCATCCATCCATCCGCCCAACCGTCCGTTCGTCTATCCATCCTTCCATCCACCAATCCATCCATCCATCCATCCATACATCCACCAATCCATCCATCCATC